GTGAACAAGAGCCCATTCCTCCAGAAGAACAGCCCAAATGGGGGCATAGATATAGCAACACCTATGGCAGGTGAATCTATTCACTACCAGAGCCGTATCGACGCAGCAAAGAATCAACCTGGCCATCAGGAGATACAAAGCCAGACTTCTTCTCATGGAGACTCTGGCGTCGAATTGGAAGGTTTCTCTTCGCCTCTCAAGTCTGAGCACGCCCGGATATTGGATCAGATGCTTGATGAATTCCTAATATCGGCCGCATGTATGAGCAAATCAAAAGAGGAACTAGCAGAGACCGAGCGTCGCGTGAGAGCGGTCAGGAAGGTCGTCGCTCGCGAGCAGCTTGGTCAACTGGACGCACTCACGCAGCGGATCCGCGCCTTGGAGGCCCAAGGCCACAATTGGCAGACCTACTTCTTTATAGGACTGCCTTACATGGACGTTCGGGTGTCACTGATTCCCTCATACAACATCTTTGCTGTGCACCCTACGCGGGATGGTATTCAGCCGACAGCAACCGAGAGGGCTGCAACATTGGCACTTGCTGCCTGTCGCTGCCTTGATAATGCTCTTCGAGATGGCAGTGACTCACTTGCCCGACAAGGGGTATTGGGCTCATCACGACTCTTCAGCTCGGTGCGTTTACCAGGAAGAGCAGTGGATCATGTTGTGAGACACGCACTGGACAGATCATTCGTAGCTCTGTACCACGGTCTTGCATTCAACGTTGCGATACCACAACATCCTACGTGGGAAGACCTGTACGCATTACTCACCGACGTTGTAAATCTTGGTGCTTCCGCGCTGGACAGCAACGATGGTCCCTGCATTCCTGCTCTGACCTTGGCAGCCCGGCCGATCTGGGCAGAGATGCGCGCTCGGCTGCTCAGAATCGACAAGCACAACAAAGACTATCTCGATGCCGTGGAAAGCGCCGCGTTCATTGTATGTATCGACAATGAAGACTTCTCTCAGCCCCTGATGGCGCATGACATGGCAACAAAAGTCTTCTGGGGCGACGGACATAATCGATGGCAGGACAAGTCCCTCCAGCTGGTGGCCTGCTCAAGCGGACTCTCAGGCCATGTGTGTGAGCACAGTCTGGGAGACGATCGATCTTTTGAGCCGATGGTGAAATTTTTAGCGCAGGGCATCTTCCAAGAGGAAGAAGCTTTGATTTTGCAGTCACGCGAGCGACAGCACTTGCAAGGCCGCGCCGTTGAGAGACCATCATTACTAGATGTGCGAGCGGACTCGGTGATACAGCAAGCGGCTGAAAGAGCCTTGGAGGAACTCTCCGACAGGACACGGTCATGTGTTGTTCAAGTCCACACGCTGCCTGCGCTCAAAAGGGACGACAAGAAGTGGTCCGTAGATTTGGTACAGTTAGTGCTCCACCTGGCTGGATCTCGCTTTTTTGGCTTCATCTTCCCATCTGTCGAAACTGTCCAAGGCAGTCACAGGGCGTCGAATGCGCGCGCTGCCATTTGCGATACCACACTGCCCGAAGTTTGGGCTTGGTGCCATGCAATGGCTTCTGAAGCGTCATCAGAATCATCTCCTCCGCAGGAACTGTCACATGAACATCTTGCCAGTCTTCTCTTCGAGGCTGTAGGAGCATTGCGAAATAGACGGGCTGACAAATTGGCGACCGGTATCGGCTGGAACTGGTACCTGCCAGCCCTTCGCAGGGCAGCTATTGAACAGCATCAAGACTCCCATAAAGAGGACACCGGACCAAATGAGCTCGATCATCTGTTCGAAGATCCCCTTTACCGCCGATGCCAGGTTGCGCTGCTTCGGGCAAACAGATTCCCAACATCGGCGATTGTGTCAGGAAATTGGCCCGAGACACCAGGAACGTTACGGACAAGACATGATTTTGGAGACGACGGGTCTGTGGCGTTTCAATTGTTCGCAAACGACCTTGATGTTGATGCGTTCTGGATGGAAATTCACAGAGCGGCTGGGGATGTTCAAAATCTTTTGTGATCCTTTGTAATATAACAAGTACTCTTTGTATGAAGGAGTCAGCTATCATATTTATATGACTATGCAGGACTTTAGCAGCCCGTCACATAATGTCCTAGAGGCTGTATCATTTATGCTATGCACGTAACAGCTGCCAACCATCTTGTACGCATCTTTGCCCAGTCCCATGCCTTGGTTCTCTACACTAAGCCACAAGAACGGCGTACGTGAGCCTGGACAAACCACAATGGAATCACCAACCCTCACAAGGGCCGGAGCAAGGCAAAACATCTTCTCTTCAGTCGTACAAATAGTATGATCTTCCATATAACCCGCAACGGTAGTCAAGAATTGCTGCCTTTGAAGAGCCGTTGGTATCTGCCGGGGTTTTCCGTGCAGCAACCCGGAAACGTCCAGCTGTTTGGCGGCGTCCAGTTGAACGAAGACATCAATGTAATCCGAGGGAGCCGGGCTGCCGCCGTCAACTGCGCTGTTGACTACGCTGTTATGGGTGATCGTTCGAACAAAATCCTCCGCTATAGCTTCAGTCCACGGTACAGGATGGACCTGTGTGGCGAAATTTACTGCCTGCTCCAGAAAGCTTGCAACGTAAGGATCTTCATCAATGGCAACAAATTGCTCTCTTTCTGGACGGCTATCGTATGGCATCGCAGAGGTGATCCTATCAACAGTAACCGCCTGGACATGCAAGACATCGCCTTCAAAACGGAGTGCATCCAGGTCCGAGGCAATCTCAGCCTTGCCAGCGCGGCAATGAGCCCCAGGATATTGTTGAAGGGGGTGAGTATAGTCCGGTACCCAGGACGGAATACCCGGCGTTGTTCTCTCTGGCCATCCAACACCCGCTGCATACAGAAGATCGAAACTATCGTTCTGCGCAGTCCACAAAGCCGTTGCTTCCATGAAAACCTTTGCGGCCGTGTTCCCCGGTCCATAATCAGGAAGAATTCCAACATCGGAGCCCGGCCCATGTAACATGCCTAGCAAGCCGTATATTCTATCCCTCGGATCAAAGGAGGTAGTAGCGTCGCACTGGTAGAGGCCGTAAGAAAGGCCACACCTCCAGCCGTGATGCCTCCCGCCGCGGTTGTTCCTCAGATGTTTGATCTTCTTCAATGATGAGATGGATGTCCAGAGGCGCTTGCTCCGGCCCATGATGGCACTGAGGTTGGATCTGTGGTCCCAACCCACGAAATCGGCGAGTGCGGCCCAGGGCAATGAGTGGGATCCCCAGATGAACATCAAGTATTGTGGCAAGACAGCTTCTTGCATAACCCAGAGTCGGCCAAACCAAGGCCGCGTTAGCATCTCGTAGAGGGCCGTCCATTCAGAGCTACCCGGGTTTGTGTTAGTCATTTCAAATAGCATCTCTATCGAAATTACTAAGTCATGGTCGTCTTGAGGAGAACCTTTTCGGCAGAAAACGTCCGTTAAAATGCTCCAAAAGTCCAGTGCTAGCTTTGTCGTGGGAGCCTCGGGACCCAAAAAGACGAGCGTCAGCGAGGAGAGCTCATACACCTGCCCCATGAGCTTGACTTGCGCACTTTTTTCCTCCAAGTCTTGTTGATTAATGCACAGATAGTCGATCCACACCCATTCGTTGTAAATATGCCCCGAACGATACAGTGTCTCGACCATTTCCAGGGCAGATCGTGGCACATGGGCCAGGGAGTATTTCGATATTTCGTCTGATAATTCTCCATCCAATCCTGATGTTGTTTCGTCCATCTCCTTCATCAGCAGAGGCACTAGGTCCTTCTCGTCGCCCCATCTGTATGACAACGCAATCCAAGAGGACTCTGGACCATGTCTGTCCAGTTGCTGTAATGTGCAGGTGGGAGCTAGATTGCCAGTCGTTGCTAGGCTGTCGACTCTCAGCACGCGCAGAAGCTCTGGTCGCTGGAGTGGTTTATAATGAAAGCCGGGCGTCATTTCAAAGGGACTTGTGTAGGCAACCCAAGTGATTATCTGAATATAGAGTGGTCTTTAATACATCGTAAGTCTGCCAAGTTACTTAGCTCTAACTTAAATATATATACCTAGTGAGATTTTATACTTAAAATGTCAGAACTTTTTAGTGGGCGAATATAGGATAGAGAGAATAGTGAATTGGACGGAGTGGTGTAAAGGCTGGTGCCTGGAATGGCAAGCCAGGGCCCTGATCCTTGCAGGGCCTTTGACAGGATTACCTAATAAGTCTCCCCTGCCACCAGGCCACCACAAAAGACCAAATAATCTAACGAGATTTTAGCTAGCAGCTTCCTCCTATATATAACGGTTTATTATTAAAACGAAGTATATTTTTATAAAAGTTTAGATTATCATATAATAGTAAGGTTCAAAAGGAACATATAGTGCTGGGGTAGGGTGTGCTTTCTTTAGGAAAGGCCAGAATACATTACCCGTGGATCTTTACGTAAGCGTGCTTCGACGGGCCCTTTAAGGTTGCTAGACTAGCTGGGAGGTATCTACCGAAGCGTTGCGTATCGAAGTGCCCATCGATCAGGGCTTCGAGCGACATCTGTGGTATAATCAACTCTTGCGGAATCTGCTACACAAAGAGACGTTTGCATTTGAAACGTGCGCTGTCCTCTTTTGACCACAAGCACTGCCCAACCCAACCTTGAGCTGAATGACATAGTCTTCTAGCAGGCATTAGTAGACAATCCACCCCGACGCAGGAAGAATCGCACTGACCTGTGATCCGAGCCCGCAAATGCTTTACTTCTTAGATCTAAAATGTCATCTTAGATCCTTAGAAGCTGACCTTGATTGCCTGCTGCAAAAAGCACTGACTGCGTGTGCCCTAGAAAACAAGGACGGAGAGGGTACTTTCTACTCAAGTACCGCTGTAGGCGCGGGTAAGCATCTGTATGTAGCTTGCAGCTTTCCTGTTTCCCAACGTCGATTCTTTCAGTTTTCACGAATAGATTCATTAGAAGACGTTATTCTTTTTTTTGGGAAACCAAGCAAAAAAGATGGATGACAGGTACAGAACCAAAACAAAAATTCTCCCTCGGATGGGCTCGAACCATCAACCTCTCGATTAACAGTCGAACGCGCTTGCCAATTGCGCCACGAGGGATTGCTCATTGGAAATGAGAACTTAACTATATCCTCGTCAGATTTGCGAGGATGCGAAAGAGTATCTGCTACAAACCAATCATTCAATTGGACAACATGGATGACCCCGACATCTCGTTTCCAGACACCTATCTCTCTTGAGAACTACTTCACCGAAGACTGCAAAGTTCCTTGATTGATAGTGTTCTGCCTCTTACGCAAGGAGGAGAAAGAAATTGTGCCGTGCTTACTAACCTACTTCCTTTGCGATAATCAAGTCTTGACTCCCACTCTCACTTACTGGACGTTGTTCATCGCCTGTTGCATGACTTCTAGTGCCGGCATGTAGGCTTCCGGTATTGTTGTGGGCTTCGTCACGTAGGTAACAACGCTCATCGTCGCTGTCCATTCCTCCGGGCTGAAGTCCCTCACTGCTAGTGCTTCTCCGCCTCGTATGCTTGCTACCGGTTGAAGTCCCGCCCATTGTCACCAAGGGGTATACATCTCTTTGAAGGAGATTTGGAGGCGCCTTTGGCATACCAAAGCTCGTGTCGAATGACCTAATAAATCCGCTCAAGTTCGGAATGGTGGCAGAAATGAGGGACCAAGCAAGCATCCCTTGGAGGTATAAAAGATTCGTCGTCAAAGCAGTTTGCGTGCCGTCCGATTGGTCAAGGCTGGAAAAGCTCCTCAAATGTAATATTGACAAGGCAATCATGGGGAGGCGCAAACCGAAGGCCAAGATAACCTCAGCTTTCAATCCAACTTTCATATTGAGATCCCAAACGAATAGCAGAGGAGCTAGACAGCCGATAAGATCCGTGACTACGTCGACGCCCGTAATAAATTGCCAACGCAGATACTTTTTGTACTTGTATCAGTTCACTTGTGTACCAATCCAAGTCTGTGGGGCAGGGATCGTATCCAATACATACCTGGCGCGGACAACGGCTTGAATTGGCAACCATCACAATATTGGTGTTATTGCAGTGCACACACAACCCTAGTACCGAACCAAGACCCCAAACCGCATTTAATGCCATGAGCAGCCAGCAAATATACCAGCGTCTTTCGTACGGCATCGTGAGAGCGCGAATCACGATTGCAGTAACGGAGCATTTGGCCAGGCATAGTGTAACAATCGCGAGACTTTCGGCCGCAAGCAGAACCTGTTACGAGAATTGTAAGCATGTATTTCAGAAACAACAAAAAATCCAAAGATTGACCAAGACGGTAGACGTGCCTCTCCTGCTTGGCGTGGGTCCATGTTGGCGTGCTTTGGAAATCCATCTGAAAGTGTGATGAAGATCGGCACAGCTTGGATCATGTGAAAGATCTAAATGATTCCATGCTCAGTCAATCAGTCCATCAAGTGTGTGCAATTTTGAAGTAAACGTACGGTAGCAACGACAAGAACATAGTCATCGGCGCCCAGAACACGAAATTTTATATAGAGTCTGGCGACTGCCACAATAAAGGTGTATATCACGCCCAGTATAGTAGCGATCCAGAGGTATCCGGTATGGTCATCGAGAACGATTGGGGACAGCGCTGGCCTGATTGAACGAACGACCATGGCAGTAATCAGGATGTAGAACAGCCGTGTCTGCGAGAACTTCGCAATTGAGTGATGCCCAATTATTGAGAAGATTCTACCTGGGTATTGTAAGTTCAGAGTTTTGCAAGAGCTTCAAAAGAGCTGGCGCACTGTATGAAGGGTTCTTCCAGTTATCCTTTAATTTCCTAGCTTACCACCTCGTCATCCATTCATCCTGTTGGCAAACATTATGCATACTGAAGATACCTACCTATTGCTGCACATCATCCCGCAGGACAAGCATATGTCAGCGGCCCGATTATTTCGGTCTGACGGCGGAATGTCCTTGCTCGCATAAGCTGCCTACCAAGGTATCATTGCTACAGTCCTACAAGCCTGTGAGCCGAGGGGTGGAAATTCTCAGTGCACCCAGTCAATTCCTTCAGCTTCGGATTGAGTCCTGGGCGAGGGTGATCCACCCCTTGAAATTTCATGAGATTGGTTGTGATATCTGCAGTGAAATTTTTTGAAACACTGCTGAGATTTGCATGGAGTGGCGTGATGCCGGTGCTCCATCACCAACGTGGTTGAAGAATGTCACCGTGAGCTGCCAGGATTCAGACCCTAGGTACTTTTTGGTAGCAGGGGGCGGTACAGCCAAATAGGCAAGTCAATAAGCCCCGGAATCTTCAATGGCCAACCGGCTGATCCCCATTGACAACGGTTGTCCCGACTCAACGGTACGCTATTGCGGGACCCGGTTTCTCTGAGGTGGAGTATGTTGCTTAGATAGGTGGAATAGAGTCGGAGGTACCATAAGAAATATGGGGCACAAGACCTCGCGTATGTATACGTGCAATGATGGCTGCGTCTTCCAGCGGGATTAAGCCAAAAAAAATTAAAAAATCAGATTGGTTAAAGTACAGATATCTCGCTTCTCACGAGCCCAGGATTTCTGCGAATGAGACCACGCATGTGTTCCGTGGGGACATTTACCACACCGGTCAGGACAGTCAGGAGCTCGAGCTACATGATCTAATACGTTCGAACTATCTTAAAGCAACTGCAAAGCCCTTTTGAGCTCAAACATCGGGTCGAATACAACACGGGGCGAAATGCAAAATCATCGACATGCGGTCCTGCGCCGGATTGTGACAGTCGTGGTTGTAGCCCAAAAATCTGCTGCAAAGACTCCAGTGGCTCATATATCATGCCTTACCATCTCTTCTCCCAACACTTACCCCAGCAGGGCGAGTGACAGTCATATCCTGTAATACAATCCGCACCCGACCCGACACCCAACGCATCTGCAGCTGTCCTGTGGCCGCCACTGGACAAGTATTCCACTGTGGGCTATCCTGCGTATCCACTCATTGACCTGGGTCTCCGAGGGCAAGCATTTACCACTCGGAATGGAGAACATTCGGAGTGGTGTCCGATATGAGATACCTACTGGGGCCTCACCCCTACATCAGGGTTGCATGCATGCATAGGGGCGAAAACGGAACACGCTTGACCGGTGTATATAGGATTCTGGCCAACGTCTCGCTTGACGTAAAACATTCAATCTCTTCCTGCAGCAATATTCGTGCCAACAAAAACTACCAGGACCATTCAATATCTCTACAAACGATTCGGATTGTGGGCAGACTGGCTGTTGTTTTTGGTTTTTTCCCGCCGCCGTCACCATGGCCACGGACGTAACAGGCAAATCCGAAATGGTGTTCAGTGAAGGGCCCCTCGAAAATCAGCTTGATAGCGAGAAGAGCAGCGATGGAAGTAGAGGCAATGCTTCAGACCGTGCCGACATGTACCGAATGGGCAAGGTACAAGAGCTTCGGGTTTGTGGCACCTCTGCCTAACATTATTTCTATCGTGAAGAGCACACAGGCTGACAAGTCGAGTCCCAATGCAGAGAGACTTTTCGAGCATTACCATCTTTGGATTCACCATGCTTCTCATTGCGTCCTGGGAGGCAGTACTGGCGTAAGTATCCTGAATCGATACGATCGCTCAAGTGTGAGACAGTCACTCACGGCATCATAGTTGCTCCATTTTGGGACTCATCAATGGAGGAACTGGCGGCCTAATTTGGATGTATTTGATATGCTGGATCAGCTTCATATTCGTTTATCTATCAATGGCTGAGATGGCGTCCATGTGAGTACCTTTGTCTACTTAGCACCGGAGATTTTGTTGATACACTTGTCTCTTTCTGACTGAACATCAGGGCGCCGACTTCTGGAGGACAATACCATTGGGTCTCCGAGTTCGCTCCGAGGCAGCATCAGAAGATCTTAAGCTACTTCTTAGGCTGGCTATCTGTACTCGGCTGGCAGGCCAATACCGCCGGCGCAGCTTATATCACAGGCACGCAACTACAAGGTACGCCTTTACATTGACTCGCACAAATGAATGACTAAACTGGGCACCTGTATACTGAGATCTTTATAAATAGGCCTCATTGCTTTGAACAAGGCGGACTACGTCTACATGGCCTGGCACGGTACACTTCTGACAATCGCGGCTGCCACTTTCACATTGCTGTTCAATATCTTTTTGGTACGAAAGCTGCCTCTTATCGAAGGCATTTTGGTGGTCATTCACATATTTGGCTTCTTTGGCGTGATGGTCACATTGTGGGTCCTGTCACCTACAGGAGACCCAAAGACTGTCTTCGTAAGTATTCTCGTGCTACTCGCTCCTTTGGTTCAACCTGAACACGGATGGTATTGTCTCGCCATACCCATGCTGATGAATAATTGGTCAAGACTACATTCAGTGACGGTGGTGGCTGGGGCAGCCTCGGTGGAAGTGCCCTCGTCGGCATATCGTCAGGCATCCTGCCATTGCTCGGGGCAGACGCTGCTGTACATATGTCTGAAGAAGTCAAAGACGCTGGTCGAGCCCTTCCAAGGTACAAATCCCTACCCGTCCTTCTCCTTCTATGCCATTTTTATAAGGTGCAGATGACTGACCAGACGTTTCAAAGATCCATCCTCTCCGCTGTCGTCATCAACGGTGCTGCCGGATGGATCATGGCCATAACCTTGAGCTTCTGCATCAGCGCCATGGACTTTGAAGAGGTCCTGTCGTCACCCACTGGGTACCCCTTCATGCAAGTGTTTTATAATGCCACAGGGACAGCTGGCGGGGCCACGGCTCTGACGATTTTCCCCATCATATTCGGATTCGCCGGGATCCTAACCTTGATGGCCACCTCATCCCGGCAGCTGTACGCATTTGCCCGCGATAACGCGCTGCCATTCAGCCCATGGCTGGCAAAAGTCTCCAGCAACCAGATCCCGCTCAACGCCATTCTTGTGACATTCACTATCACCTGCCTCCTCTCGCTTATCAACCTGTCAGTTTATAACATGCCCTCCCTTTTCTCGGAGTCTTTCTACGTAGCCCTCTAAAGAACAAGGTACTGACAACCAATATTGACTCACAGGGGCTCCGCAGTCGCACTCAACTCCCTGACA